AATCCTGCAAAGAAAACATGCCGCAAACTATGTTATTTCATAGTGCTGGAGTTATGTCTGATTGTTGGGACAAATGTTTATATTCAAATTACATATACACATATAAATCATATTTATGGTTAAAATCTAGATTGTACCAACATTGACTGAAAACAGAAAATTCAGGAGCAGGGACAAACTCTAAAGAGAGAACCAATTGCAAAATGACAAGAAGGTCCTGACGGCACTCAACGTTCAGTTACGCCAATGAACTAAAAAGAAAGAGGAGAAGCATCCAGAGGCACAGGAAGAAGCCCCACTGCTTTAGGCCAGCCTGTGGTTGACAGTGAGACCCTGTCTCAAAAAAGACCCCACACAATAAAATGCACACAGAAAGATGGAACCATGAGCACCCTGGTTATATAAGGCATGCAGCAAAGGCATCCAGGCAGCATGTGGAAACGCAGTCACCTAGACTTTCACTGGCCGTTCTTTACAAAGGACTTCGCTGGACTTGTTCTGAGCTTCCTGCCATGTGTTCACAAGGACTAACAATATGGGAAAACAATATGGTGTTTGTGTTGTCTAATGCCGGGGGAAAGAATCCACAGAAACCCTCAGTTCTTGGTGTGATTCATTCACTCAGCACAGAAAGTCTAAGAAGCTGAGGTCATTGGGGTTAGGGCTGGGGCTGGGCAGAGGGGCTGGGGCTGGGGAGACCAGTGTCTCATGATTACAGGATGTACTCGAGGAGGAGGAACTATATTTAGGCACAGTGAGTAAGCATTACAGTTCCATTCCTGTCTCCAATGCCTTTTGTTTGTGTCTGCATGAGTATGTGGGTACATGCAGGTAAATGTGCTGGTGTGTACATGTATGTAAAGGCCAATGGTCAACCTTGAGTGTCCTTCCTCAGGAGCCACCCAACTTGCTTTCTGAGAAATGTCTCTGATTGACCTGGACCTCCCTGAACTGGGTAAGAACTTTGTTGACTTAGCCATCTTCCCCAGTCCTGTGTCTTTGTCTCTGCAAAGGGTTCCATTATATAACCTAGGCTGGCTTTGAACTCCTGATCCTCTTGCCTCAGTCTCAAAATCCCAACCTCCGTTTGCAACAGCAAGTAAAAACCATGTAATTAGGAAACCATTAGCTTCCCTGTCAAAATCACCCGTGAAGGAAGGGCAGACTTCACATCAGCATAAGGTAGAAGCCAATGAATTCCCAAAGAAAATAAAAATGTTAAATACAGAGTTCTGGGGATGAAGAGAAGTCTTGGTGCTTTAGAGCATGTGCTATGCAAGCATGTGGACCATAGTTCAGATATCAGCACTTCCTTAACAATCACTGTGTCCTATGTGCACCTGTAAGCCGAGCCCTGACCGAGATGGAGACAGAAGAGCTGTGAGACTTGCTGACTTCCAGCCTAGCAGAAAGACACACGAGCTCCAAGATCCAGGAGAGAGCCTGCCTTAAAGGAGGTTCCTCAAAGGAACAGGGAAAGAGTGACAGAGCAGGACATGCAATGACCTCCACTAGTCCACATATGTGCACATGCACACCTGCACACACACATATATGACACTCAGACACAGACATGCACACCAAAAGACCCACCAAAATTCTTAGAAAATAATAGTGTTCCACTTAACTCTGCCTTATGACAGTATTTTGTACACGTCAAATCAATTCTCAGATTTTGTTAAAATTCTCAGATTTTGTTAAAAAGATCAAAGGGAGAAAAGCATTTTTTTCAGGAGCAAGCTCCACTTCAAATTTCTGTTAGAGAATGAAGCAAGAGAATAAACATGTTCTTAAAATCCTTCACCACATGATATGGACACACAATGAAACCCACAAAAAGGGCAAGGTCCACTCTTCTGGTAACTCCACTACAATCTTCCATGCTGGGAAGAAAGAAAACTCACATTCAGATATGTGTGAATGTCTTGTGTAGTTAGGGGGAGGTTGTGTGTGTGTGTTACCTGCACACATGTGGGTGCACACAGCTGTCCACATGTGTAGAGGGCAGAGCAGGATGTCAGGTGTCTTCCTCCACTGCTTTCCATCTACGGCCTTGAGATAGGATCTCCCCAGAAAGGGAAGCTCATCATGTTGGCTAGGCAGGCTGGCCAGCCAGCTCTCTGAATCTGCCCACCTTCCCCTCCACCTCTATACTGGGGTTACAGTAACATGCAGCCACGCCTGGCTGTTTAGCCAGGTGCTGGGTATTCAAACCGAGGTCCTCACACTTGCATAGCAAGAATTCCTACACCTAAGCTATCTCCAAACCCTTATTTTGGAAATCTGTGAAACAGATAATTTTCTGTAGTCCATGTTGGTCAGGAACTTGCTTTGAAAACCAGGCTGGCTTTGATGTTGTGATTTCCTCTGACATACTTTCCAAGTTCTGGGATTACACATGAGTACCACAATGCCTGCCATGATACCTATACATACATGGAAACATATATTCATCTATGTACTTCTGTGCTCATTTGTGTCCCACTCTTGAATGAGTTCAGAATGTGAACATTAATACAGGAAAAAAGTTCCTATTTACCTATTCTTGAGCATATAACTCAATTCCACAAAATGTTCATAATGTTTTCTTCCCCACAACTTTAATTTTCATTGGGTTTCCGGAAGTACCTGTCTTATTGACATAGGGAATACTGTACTGTTTATGTTTCTAGGATAGTCAGACTGACACATTCACACACTGAAACACATTTTCATAAAGTTGGTTATTCTTTACATCACAGGTATATTATGCGAATGTAGATTATACTGATCTCGGAATTTCAAGTTAGTAAAGGGACATTACAAAATGTTTGCTCTAGGAAAAGAAAATGGAGGGCTGCCTCACTGGGAACAGGCATTCTACACGGGGAATTTAGATTTCTGAAAAAATCCTGAATTAACTTTCACAAAGTAACTTTGAAATCAGCAAATGAGTCCCAGGCATCTGCTGCAGACTGGACATGGTCTTTCCACCTGTGACATAGGTCTGTGGTTAGCCATGTTGCCTTCATCCTTTTCACTGAATGAAGGTGCCTTTAAGATGGGGGACCAAGCCCACACGGCACGCCCCTTCTCTCTGCTCTGCCTTTTGCCACTCAGGGCACACACCACATCTAATAACAACCTCCACTTTCCTTCTTCTTGATTCCTTGTCTTGAAAATAGATATAAGGCAACAGACTGGTGCAGGGGTCTCCACCAATAATCAATACCCCAAACCATGGACAGACAGAACTTCTGCATCCCTGATAAAGCTCAGCCTGGCATCCAATGCTAAGGTGATATAAACAGCGTGAAAGCAGAAGGGGGATTTTGTCAGAGGAAGGAAGGGTCTAAAGGGGGAGGGTAACAAGAGATGGGACTGGGGACAAAGGAAAGACAAGTGACAGCTTCTCACACGTGGAATCTAAGTTTAAATATATACACACTACACATGTATGTATACACACATACAAGAATGAACATGTAAGGTTGACTATTTGGGGAAGAAAAATCAGTGGGAGGTGCAAAGGACACAGAGGAGAGTAGCAGGAGTGAACGTGAGCAAAGTGCAAGGATTATGTGCATGAAATCAGAATGAAACCTTGTCTTTCGCACGCTAACTAAATTTTCAATGAAAATGCTAAGGAGTAATGAGGAGTATGTACACACTGGATGAAAGAGCTCAAATTCTGTCCTTTCACTGACAAATGTCTTCAGTCCCCACATAACTGACATCAGTTCCATCAGTAGAACGCTCCAAGATCTTATAGGAGGAGACAACCTTAACTTCAACCACGCCAGGGGTCAGCGTGGAGAGTGAGAGCTGAGGTAGTTTATGTCCATGAATTGCAGCTAAGCAGGGTTCATTCAGTAAACATGAAGATCAGAAAGTGAGGACTGAGTGGCAAGAGACCCAGGCTGGAGATAAGAGGACTCAGGATTGGAAGAACTTAGTCTTGTAGTCCATAACAAGGAGCTGATTTTTAATTTGCAAAAAGTTTAAGGTCTTGGAGCTGCCTCCCGACTTGATTTCAGTTTTAAGTAATTCACCATATTTAGGGTTTCTTGTGTAAAAATGCATGAAAGGAAATGAGACTAGGTAACTGGACACATGTAGGGCTCTTCTGCAATAGGTCAGTAAGATCTGCACTAGGATGCTGAAAGAGGGAGGCTGCCAGACTCTAAAGACATTCGGGAGATAAAGCAACCGGTTCAGTGAACTCAGGGAAGGGGAACAGAGAGTGGCAGGAAGTAAAGGGGACACCAGCACCTGTGAGGTAAGTCTAAAACCATCCAGTGGCAATGACAAGGGAAACGCCCTCAAATGACACCTCTGCCTTCAGAGTCCTGGAAGTGACAGAGCCTCTCCAGCTGGTACCCAGGGCAGGGTGGCTTCAGCTCAGACTGGATCTTTTAAGCTGTCTGTGTCTAAATAACAACCTGTGGACTACGGGTTCCTGTTATGAAAGGGGTACTCAATACTGGCAGCTGCGCCCCATGGTGCCCTTCCACGCTGGCCCAAACTCCGCGGACCTGAGACCCCAGAATTCAGGGTGGCGCTAAGAACTCCGGGAGGCCAAAGGGAGCAAGGTCTCGGAGATCATTGAGATCCAAGGTTGCCAAGGCTGGAACAGAGCGCTTTCCCATTCTGGGATGTGGTTCCTGCCCTTCTTCTTCGGTGGGGCACAGCCAGCTACGTCCAGGACCCCACCATGGCCACCGTGGCCGTGATGTCATCCTGGCTCACGTGGGAGACGTGACACCGCCCACTCCACGCGCTGCGGCCACCAACCGTTAGAGCAACGACCTCGGGGTCACCACCAACGGCCTCAGGAGCATGCTGCAGGTTCTACAGTAACCTTACTGCAAGGCACTCCGGGTCCTGTGCCTCCCTGGTGTGCCAGCCGGCCAGCCAACCGGCTCTACTGACCTCGGACAAGGATGCGAAAGAGCTGGATTTATCAACAGCCTTTGGGGACCACAGCGCCCTCTGTAGCTCGAGTCCGGTAGGGCAGGTATGGAAGATCGAGTTCTCACCTGCAGAACTCCATTTGCTCAGGATAGGAACAAAAATTCAGTTCTCCTACCCCACCCCAGAACCTGTGCCTTCTTTATGAAGTAGTATATCGTGTACATTTTGTATATTGTTCAGGCATTTACTTTCACGCATGTATAATCTCTTTCTGTTCAAAAGCAAACACTATACATTTACAACATTTCCCCCTCTGTTCTTGCCAATGGTTGGTTTTGTGACTGTGCTCACAGGTGCTAGTGACTCCTTTACTTCTTGTGACTGTCTGCTCTGTTTTCTAGAGTCTTCAGTAAGCACTTTATCCCCTGAACATCTATGCAATATGTATGTGTATATATACATATATTTTAATTTCTGTTCAAGGGATTTCACTGGTTATAATTAATGTAACTAAAAGTACCACAGTTCATTTAAACCTATCCAGTAGTGACATTCCTCTGCCTGTTAGGAGGTTGTTTGCTTGCTTGTTTGTTTGACTGTGGTTTTGATCTCCTGTGACAGAAAATGCTGAGACTGCATGAACATCCTTACGACAGTAGAACTTTTCTAAATTCAGAGACATGGATGGAATGAAGGAAACACATGCTAACATTTAAAATAATTCCATCTAACTGCCAAAAAATGGTATCAATACACTCATTCACTGATGGCCAGTTTTCCTGGCATCACACAGCAGGTGCCACGACAGCTTTGCACACCATGGTTTTCCGTTCAGTAAACACCAGAGAGAACAGAGAAAAGAGGAGCTCAAGTGCAAGATTCCCACAGCACTCAGGCAGAGGCTCCTGTGCCTGCTACGGAATCTCTGATTCACCTACAAGAGGAACCAAAGGACGGGACATTGACGTCAGAGCAGTGGACTAAGTCCCTGAGTAGACTGTGGGAACTCATGGTGGCCACTAATAAAAACGTTTACCTTAGTTTATAATTCCAGAGGTACCTTCCATCTGCTCATGGTAATATTCACAGCAACTTAGATCTGCATAAGCTGACAGAAAAGTCAGAGTTATTGGATGAGTGAGTGAATGAATGAGCAAGCAATCACTAGTCAAATCTTTTGGGGAAAGTCACATTTTTAGTCAATTTAAATCCACGTGTGTTTACCATTCTGAAATCATCCCATAATGAAAAACAGTTCAATATCAGTATATTGCTAATTGGAAAAGTAAAAGCTGTAAGTTAACAGAACAAAGTTTGTTTACTATTGAAGAGATTGTAAACATAAATTAGGCACATTCCAAATTGACATTAACTGATAAAATAGTTTGTTGACAATGTGCAGAAAGTATGAGACTTTAGAAGACTCAGTCCTAAATGGGACGTCTTCATCAAACCCTTGGGCTCAGGTAGCAATTTGGCGGAGGAGGCAGAAGGATTGTAAGACCCAGTCTGGTACATATATGTTCGGAATAGTTTTAAAAAACTCAGTACTTTGGAAACTATGTAAAATTGTTTGTGACCCAAAGAACAAATAGTAGAAATGCCTACAGGCATGATAATAATATGGAAATATCATCTAAATTTATCAGGAACTACAAAAGCCAAATTAGTTTTTTTATGGACAAAATTTTCTTGGGGAGATTCAACACACACACACACACACACACACACACACACACACACACACACACACACATCTATTCATCCCAGATGGAGAGTCCATGACAGATCCAAGTATGGATACCACCAAACTCCAATTTGGTGAACGAATGAATTTTATTGGGGTTACTTACAGGAGCAAGAATGACTCTTAAGACAGCCGCATTACTAAAGCCCACGTCAGCATGGGTGACAGTTTACAAAAGCTGAAAATCTGGAGCACACTGCACAGCCTGCAGGCAGCTCAATGTGCAGGGAAGTGTCCTTTCCAGGTGGCTGAGAGGGTCTAATCCTCTTCCTGGCAGCTCCTCTGGTTTCTGCTTTCCAGGCAGTTGGTCTGGTCTCAGCCTTCTTTGCAGCTTACCTTAGCTGGGAGCCACAGCAGTCTTTATTGTTCACTATTGGGAGGGAGGGACCTAGTGAGTCTGGTCAGTTTTAGGGACTTCCTGAAGCTATTTTGAGTTGTTATTTTTCTGTCTAAAGGATCTTTCTGGCAGGATGGAATTATTTTCATTTCGGAGCAGACTGCTATACAGCAACATTTTACTTTAAATCTTCCAGAACTCACCAATTTAGAGTGGGAAGAACTAACCTTAAATTGGTCCAAGAAAATCAGACTTATTGATGAACAGAGATGTAAAAAAACTGCTCATAAAATATTTGCAAGTGGAATCCTAGAAGTCATCAAAACAGTAATTCACCACAATGAAGTTAGCTTCATCCCAGAAATGCAGGGATAGTTCTAAATATGAAGGTCAATGAATGTAATATGTCAAATAAATGTGCTCAAGGTCAGAAATCACATGGTCATCTCAGTTTGTGTACTAAAAGCTTTTGGCAAAATTGTCCTTTCATGATAAGAGCCTGGGAGACACTTGGAATAGAAGGAACATATTTCAATATAGTAACTGGTATATGACAAACCAAGAGCTAATATTACACCAAATAGGAAAAAAATCAAGCCATTGTCACTAAATATGGGTGAAATAAAGATGTCTGCTTTTGTCACTCTCATTCAGTATTGGACATGAAGTCTAAGCTAGAGAAATAAGATGAATGAAAGAAATGAAAGGGTCCAAGTGAGAAAGGAAGAGATCCAAGTGTCCTTATTTGCAGAGGGTATGATGCTGTGTGACATCAAAAGACTCCCATCAGACAACTCTAGGTGTGATCAACACTCTCAGAAAAACAGGAGAACACAAAACTAACATAAAGAGACTAGACACAGAGAGTGTAAGCTAAAATTAAGTGCTGGAGCTATGGACAGAAAATTGCTGTAGATGCAGATTGTAGAAGCTGAGGACCAGGGAAGGACACACAGCATTTGCCTACACGGAACTGAGCATACACATGATACTCACATGTGTAAACATCAAATTTCCATGAAACCGACCCCTGTGGATGCTATAGGTTGATCAGGAATGCTTCTATATCTTCATATATTTCAGGGTTAGTCCCCAGCTGAGTTCTATTAGAAAATGATGGATCCTACGGGAGTGGTGTAGGCATCTGTCCATTGAGAGCATGCCCTTGCAGGGACAAGGTGCCCCAGCCTATCCCCTCTCTCCTCTCTCTCTCCCTATCTTGTTAAACACAAGGTCTCTTGCACCTCCATCAGCCTTGAACTTATTATGCAGGTAAGGATGTCCTCGGACTTCTGATCCTCCTGCCTCCACAAACACTGGGATTATGGGCAAGGATCCCCATGGTAAGTATCATAGGATGCTGGAGGTAGAACAATGCAAGCTAGGCAAGCAACTGAGGTCATCCTCAGTGCCCCTCTTTGTCTTGTTTGCCCAGTCTATGGGGGAGAAACTGGCTCTACTGAGTGCTCCTTGCCATGACACCCTCCTTTACTACAGGACAAAAATTCACAGGACCAAATGACTGACTGTGGACTGAAGCCTCCAGCACTGTGAACCAAGACAAGCCTTTTCTCTTCATAGCTAGCTCTCCCTCCTGTTTCACAAGACAGAAATCTCCCTACCATACCACCCTTCCCTCAATACTATTACTACACCACTTTTGCCTGTTAGTAGCACATCTTCTCCCCAATGGTTCACGTCTCACCTTCTTGTCTTTTGCATCACAGTGGGGGCTCACAACCAAGGGGGCAATACTGTTTGTCTTTAAAATGCACCACACTTCTCACAAACACCCTCACTCCCCAGCAGAGTTCAAGACAGGCTTGTGCAAGTGCAAGGTGTGGAACACCTCTGAGCTCACAGCTCAAAGGTTTATTTCCCTCTGCTGCCTCTCAGCCCTAGTCCCTGGCATCCTTAAACAAGAATTGAATTTTCCTTCTTCACTGTCCCTGGAGTGTGGACACAGACTGGAACATGATAGATACTTACTAAAGGAATGAGGGCACCCGACCTTGATGCCTTTTGCTTCTGGCTCTGACTGCATTGTAGAAGGCATGAGTTGGGATCCTGACCCACTGAGTTCCTCTCTAATAAATAGCCTTGGTGACACCAGGAGAAGGCTGTGTGTGGTGACCGCAGGCTTAATGTTTATGCAGAACCCTCTGACAAATGTCTCACTCATAGCTACTTAAAGTCTTCTAGTGATAATCTAAATATCTAGACTGTTTGTATTCTTACCCCCTTAAGTTAAATTCTACTCAAGAGCTGCTTTGCATTATGTTCTCAAGGGGTACAGGTGTTCCTGGTGCCTACTCCACTGCTCGGGTTTCCTTAGTATTAATGTCCCCAGATGGATTTGTTCACTGAATTTATTTAAGTCATCACTTCATCTGGTGTTTTATCTTCTCTAATATTTTAAGAAGAGGTCTGTGATATACATATGTTCTGTGCTGGACCACTGGGATGGCTGTTGCAGGGCTTAGATGTTATCTCTTTTTGCTCTCTCTCTTTCTTTTTTTCTCAGAATGACCCAATCTTTGTCTCACCACAGAGTGAATGAAGAATTTAACCAAACTTGGCCACAAACCCGAATTCAACCAAGACTTTTCTTGTGCTTGCTGTATCAGCTGTGGAGATGCCACCATCTTCATGGTGTCAGCCATTATAAAGGGCGACACAGAAGAGGACTTCCCCTTATCCAACAAATTTTAACGTGAGAACCTGCAGCTTCCATCTCCTCTCCCGTGATGGATCCCTCACTTATCCTGCCCTCCTCTTTATGCTTCTCACTTTTGTAGAAAGTATGGAACTTGACATTGTCATCTTTTAATCAGGTTTCTGGCCGCTCACACATATGCTTGTCCTTTCAAAGACGTGGGAACCAAAGGTGGTGTTGTCATGACTCAGGAATTTCATGAGTAGAAGACTTGGCTCTGTCTGTGCCCACATGGCCTAGCTGTTAGATGAGCTGGCAGGTAAGCAGGGCGTGTCCACATCGGTGAGTGTTTTGACTGCCTTTTCTCTACTTGGGTAGCCAGTCCCAGGCTTATCACTGGTGTGTGGCAGAGACCAGATTCCTCATCTCCTCTTCCTGTAGTCTGTAGGAAAGGGATTTCCTTCTTAGCCTTCACTATAGCCACACAGTCTACCAGATGACTATGGACTAATTGCTGTCTGTGTGGATCATCACATAAGACCTTTCCTGAGCTGTTCATCATTTTTGGGTAGGCATATAAATACAAAATTTCAGAGCTGTTACAGGGAAGGACTCCTAAAGCCTCAGAGAAGACTGCTTCATGGCTAGTCTACACTTTAGGATTCCAGGATCTGAAGAGTTTCCCATGACTCTGAGGAGCTCTGAGGAGCTCTGGGGCTCAGGAGAGATTTCCCTGGCAAAATTTCCTTGATCTTCACAGTGTGCACCAAGTAGGAGCCTTGCTATCCAGTTATAGTCTGCAGAAGAGCAAACTCAGGGTTAGGAATGAGCCTGAGTTTCAGTTAGTAGTGACATTTCCCAGGCTTTGTAACTCCAATTTCAGGCTTCATTCTAGAGCATGGGTTCTTTTTGTTTTCCATCTAGACTTACAGATAGCAGTTCCTTGAGATCATAGTATACCTCCCTCTGCATTCCTCCCTCCCTAAGACACCAACTCTAACCAGTTCCGCATGTTTCCTCCCAGACAGACAGACATACATCAGTCATCACACTGAGTTTCTTATCAGTCCATCAGTCATGACACACTGAGTTTCTTCCTCCCTCCCCCTTCCCCCGAGACAGGGTTTCTCTGTGTAACAGCTCTGGCTGTCCTGGAACTCATTTTGTAGACCAAGTTGGCCTCAAACTCAGAGATCCACCTGCCTCTGCCTTCTGAGTGCTGGGATTAAAGGTGTGTATCACCAGTACCCAGCCTACACTGAGTCTCTTATCAGCCCATCAGTCATGACACATTGAGTCTATCAGTCTTCTCAAGCACCATTCTGACACAGTAGGGACTCCGCGGTCCTGTGACTGAGCCGAGTGTTGAAGGTTAGCAGCATCCCTGGGGGAAGCATCCCACTCAGTGACAGCATCACTAACAACCCCAGTCTCTCCTGGCTTCGCCTAAAGCTGTCTGAGGTGGAGTGTTGCCCTGGCTGAGAGTTAATGTGCCAATTACTGTGCGAGCAAAGATCCGCATTGTGACTTGAGAGTGGAGGAAAGGGACAAATACATTCATTCCTGTTTTGAAGTAATGAGTGTGGACTGTTTCCTCTAGGTTCTAGTGGTCCACCAATGCCATCCACAGCCTCCTGAGTGCTGTAATTACAGGCATGCATCACTCAGATAGCTGGAGTTTACTTTCAAGTGCCTGCTCTTGGAGAAGATTAGAGGCCTCTCTCTCTGGGCATGGGGAAGAGGGAGACAAGGACTTTCAAGGTGTACCTCTTTTCACTTCAGGGACCTCTGGAACCCTGCATTCAGGGGTCATGTCTTTTCAGGATATTTGCACATTTTCTATGCAGCTTAGTCATTCTGGTCTGTTTCCTTAGACTATAGAGAAATTGCTTAAATGCCACAGATTTTGATCATCTGCCACCACTGCAATGAGAAAGGACATCCTCAGGGTGGGTCTTCATTGTCACTGTGTTCTACCTGGAATCTGCAGAGCAGAACAGAGCACCTGAGACGAAGACCAGAGTACCACAGACCCTGAGCATTGGGTGGGAGAGAGGAGCTCAGGCTGTCTCTGCAGAGCAGAAGGACAGGATGTCAGGGCAGAGGTTCACATCCTGTGGGAGACACTGCGCCTCTCCTGACCTGTCTTCTCTCTCTCTCTTAGCTGACATCCCGATTCTCTATTTCTGCTTTCTATCACAGACTCTAAATAAAATTGTTTTTCCCGGAGCTGAGCAGCTGAAGCCCCAGGACCTACAGAGCCCCATGAGTATGAATGGCATGCGTCAGACAAGGTCAGTGTGAACAGCACTGAGGCAGGAAGGCAGTGTGTTGGCTTCCCAGAATGTGCCCTGGGTTGTGCTGTACCACATAAGTGGAGGTTTTTATTTAAGGGAAAGTTCATTTTGGGGGCACAAAGACCAATTACTCAAAAAAGTTGCTCACCAAATGGTGATTTGGAGAATTCCAACAGTTTGAGCCTATGTGTCCAAGAGGATGACTTGAGGACAATGGCTATGACCTTTCTGTCATATCAAGAGCAAGGAAGAAACCTGACCATAGTGAACATTGTCACCAGAGCATAGAGTGTTTCCGATCTCAGGAGTGGGAAGTTTGGATCATGTGCTTATTCCTAAAGCTTTGTGTAGTCACTGACCTTCCCCAGTGGAATGCTTTAACTAAATCTCCATCATTCTAATTATGAATAAGACTTGAGATTCAAAAGCTGGAGTGAAAACCTGTGAGCTCAGAGAGGCTGAGTAGCAACTAGCTACGCTCTGTCCTTGCTGGCGTCCATAGAAGACCCAAGCTTCTGCTTCACCAAACCAAAAAATCCTGCACACTCCAACCCCCATCCTAGTCCTTCCTCTCTACCTCTCCTAGATACCCTCTGAGGCTTAATGATTGCTTTCTGTCAACTAGTTGCTAACACAGCCTCCTGACTCACGGTTAATTTTATTTAACGAACACAAATGGAAACTCGGGATCACTGTGTGATCAAATATTCCCCAACAGTGCAGACAGCGTGGAAGCATGGGGGAAAATACTGAACTAAACTCTGGTACCATAGCATTTGTCTTGGCCCTGATATGCCTGGGGTTGTGATTTTGGACAGAGCATTTCCTCTCTCACTAAGTGGATCTTCACCTTCCACCAGGGAATAACCGACAGACTTCTCTGTGCTCACTTTAGGAGCACAGAATAGAGAAGGAAACCAGGGAGTCCCCAGTGTTTCAACAGAAGCAGAGAAAGCGCTGGTGTGCAGACAGGCACACTCAGAGCCAGGATGCTTCCCTGCAGGAGCAGCCCTCCACTCAGTTTTCACATTAGCATGTCCATGTCGGTGCTGTTCAGCAGTCGCGTTGGGATGTGAGGGGACTTGGCTGCCACATCTGCCGCCCCTCCATGAGCAGGGTCGCCTTGGCTGACATGGAGAAGCAGCTGTGTCCTGCTCAGGGCTCAGTGTGAGACTCTCCTGGACTGGGGGTTTACAGTTAGGACCGGACCTTCAGGAGAGAGAATGAGACTGTGTTTCTGTCTATGGCACAGGATCATCCCTGCTGTCAGCCTCCAAACAAACTCTCTAAAAGTAATGTCACCTCAACACATGTGGTCTGAGGCAGCTGGGTCACCACTACTTCATGGCTAGCTTCTGTTTCATACTGAGTTCCTAGCAAGCATGCTCTATGAAGTAAAATTCTATTATGTTTTAAAGGAAATTTTTCTTCATGTTAAAATTCATTGTAAATTCATGTAAAAAAGCATTGATTCAATTTCATTTTTAAAAAATCAAAATTGTTTTTGTGTCACTCTGCAATGCAGGTGGCTACCCTCTTGCCTCCCTCAGCCAAGAATTACAAGCCTATATCTCCATGGCCATAGTGGTCACTACTTTAGCAATGTACTCGTTAAAATAAATGAATGTAAGTTCCCAGATGAACAAAGGAATCTGCTTTCCTAACTACTTGTTTACCTGGTGACAGGCAATAGCCTTATTAAAGCCTGGAGCTCAGCCCACCAGAGCCCTCAAGTACTGCAGGACGTTGAACAGCTGGAGCTTCAAGTGAGCCAATTCTCCTAGAGTTAAAAAGAGGTAATTTGCATGCAAACACATGGGAAAATTTAAAGTCCCAGGGCCTTTTTCCTGTGTTTAAAAGTTAACTTTATATCGTTTGGTCCAAGGGGCCATGCCTCACTTTTTCTTACTTTGCCAGTGGGATCACAGAGAACAGGTCAATAGTGTGACCAGTTTGTCTTTAGAGTGCACCGCATGTTTGCAATTAAACACCCTCAGTTCTGAGCAACGTTCACGACAGGCTTGTGCAGTGCTCTGGTACATGGAGCTCATTCACGGCTCTCAAAGGAGGGTTTCCTTCTCCTGCCTCTCAGCCCTGGACCCAGATATCCTTAAACAGCAGGGAGAGAGTTTTCCTTCCTCGTAGTCCCTCAAGTGTGCCTGCAGACTTGAGCGTGGGAGACACTAAGTTAATGAGCACACCCATCACGCCTTCTGCTTCCAGCAGGGATCGCACTGGGGAGGACATGAGCTGTGCTCCCCCCAGGCTTAGGTGCCCCCCCTTACTAGTGATATCAGGGGGAGCCTGGGTGGTGACTGCTGGGTTTATGCTTTTGCACAACCCTCTGACGTGTGCACAACCACTAACAGCTGCTTCAAGTCTTCTAGTGCTGTTCTCAATAAAAGGGCTGTGTGTAAGGTCTGCTCCCTAAGGTAAAGCTTCCCAAGAGCTCCTCCGCGTTATGTTTTCAAGGGGCACAGACACTGCCAGTCCCCACACTGCCACTTTACTGCTGTAGTGAGAGTATCCCAGGCTGGGTTTGTTCACTAAATTTTGAGCTGAATCACTCCATGTGGTGTTTTGTTAGATCTAATTTCTTTAGGGAGAGGCCTGTCACACACACACACACACACACACACACACACACACACACACTCGAGTATGCTAGACCGCTGGAATGGCAGGATGGCAGGAGATGGGTTGTGATGCTCCCTGTCTTCTCTTTTCTCTCTTAGATCAGTTCCATTTTCAGAATGGAAGATGTTAAATCTCCTGCCCCAAGAGTGATTCCAAATTTTACATGCTGTTGGCCAGAGTGTTGAAATAAACAACAAACTATCCTGGGCCTCTTACATTGTCTTGGGGAAAAGCATCCTAGGGATGGCAGCAGCCCACCATAAACACGGACATCTAGAAGTCGCCTTCATGCTGCACCACAAGTTTTTAACATGAGAACGTGCAGCTTCCACCTCCTCTCCCGGGACGGATCCCTCACTCATCCTGCCCTCCTCTTCATGCTTCTCATCTTTGCGGACAGTACAGAACTTGACATAGTCATCTTTCAATCAGGTTTCTGGCCGCTCACACACATGCTTTTCCTTGCTACTCAAAGACATGGGGATCAAAGATGGTGGTATCACAAATAAAGAATTTCATGAGTAGGAGACTTGGTTCTGTCTGTGCCCACATGTCCTACCTATTAGACAAAAGAGTTGGCAGGTAAGGTACAAGTAGGGTGTGTCCGAATTGGCTACTAGTTACAGGCTTATCGCTGTGTGTGGCAGAGCCCAGATTCCTTCTATTTTCATCTGTAATTCATTGAGTGGTATAGGAAAGATGTTAGCCTTCCCTGTAGCTACACAGTCACCAGAGGACTGTGGACCACCTAAGGAGATGTGTATGGCTCTCAGGAGCTCAGGCACTGAGGAGGGGTTTCCTGGGCATAACTTCACTGATCTTCACAACTTTGTGTGTGCTGCGTAGGCACATCACCTTTTTGCATTTCCCAGGTTGTGCAATTCCTACATCAGGGTTCATTCTAGAACATAGGTTCTTTTGTTTTCCATTTTTGGTATTCTGTAAGAGGAAGGCAGTCTCTTAAGATCATAGTAAAACTCCCTCTCACTTCCTCCCACTTCAAGGACAAGTCAGTCTTACCAGGGACTCATGTGTCCTCCCAGACACCAGTTTGTCACACTGAGGTCCTGAGCACAGCCTCCTCTCAAGCAGTTCATGACACAGCCGTGAATCTTTCCTGGTTCTTGAACTGAGTGAGTGTTGAAGCAGGTTAGCAGCATCCCTGGGTCCAGCATCCCATTAGGTCTCCACAGCATAGTTCCTCCTAGCTCTGGGCACCCCATCTGTCTCCTTTCATTACCTATTGATCTCTAAGGCGAGGTTGAGTCTTGTTGAAAAACAATACACTAAGGTGCTAGATGAGCAAAGATCCCTAGCTCTTACACTTAATTTAAACTCAGCCCATTTCTGCTCATCTATATGTCACCATGTGTTCCGTGGCTTTACCTGTGTGCCATTATATGCTGTTCCCTGGACAGCAGGCTGGTGTCTCCTCACTCAGCCTTCCTCTTCCCAGAATTCTCCTTGTCTGCTTATCCTGCCTATACTTCCTGCCTGTCTACTGGCCAATCAGTGTTTTATTAAACCAGTGTACAAAAGCATTATCCCACAGCATTTCCCCTTTTCTGTTTATTTAAAAAGGAAGGTTTTAACTTTAACATAGTAAAATTATATATAACAAAACAGTTATCAAGTAAGAATTACAGTTACAATATCTATTTATATTTGGCAAATTCAAAGAAAATATTCTATTTATCCTATATTTGTGAGTCTAAAGTTTCATATCTAATTTATCCTTTATCTTAACCAAGGAAAATTATAACTATCTAGTCTTCAACTACACCAAAGATCTCAGAAGGATATAATATTACCTAAGTAAACAGGAAATGCATTGTAAGCAACTTGCAAAAATCTAGAATGACAGAGACAGCTGGCAGCATGGATAGTTACCCAAAGTTCTTTTGCAATGTTGGGGCATCCATTCTTCAGCCTACAGGCCTTGAGTCTCTCAGTCACTTCTTTCTGTGTCCTGTAGAATGTCTGGCAGTTTCCTCTGCAAATCAGGAACTTGAAGGACCATCTCATCGTGCAAAGTTCAGTAGTCATCTTCCTATGGGTCCTGCATGTCAACATTTTGTCAAGCAGTTCAGGCAAGAACAGTTTCTTGCTCAAATGGCTATTTTTGCCAAGAAGAAGATAAATTCCATATGGAGTGTCTTCAATGCCCATCTTTCCCTTTGAAGTAATTGGTGCTGCCAGGAGCAAATGTGTCATTGTCCATTTAAAACATTTTAAATGCCATATTCTGTAGGTCTTTGAAGTGTTTAAAGATTATCTACCTAATTAAATTATATCTATGTATAACTAGAAAACTTAACATGATTGTAAGTTTGACTACCATAGAAGACTAATTATTAATCTGTATTTCT